ATTTATGTCACAGCTATCCATTAATGTACAGTGTGTTTGCTATTTTTAGCTGTTGGAACTAAAACAATAATACTTATTTATAGACCTTTCAAGTCATAAAAGTTAAAGTACTTCAACTCAAAAGCAGAAGCAATAAATACAAAGTGAGACATGCAGAATAACAGCAAAAATAAAAGAAAGGCTATAAAGGTTTCACATAAAAGTAAGTCTATAAAAAGATTCCCCCTAAAAATTCACCTTTAAAGCTTAAATCACTTGAAAACCAGGTGAATAATGTTCAAATCAGACTTCTGTGATCTTGACCTTTTCTGTGATGTCTTTTTTCAACACTTTAGTTCGCTTATCTTAGCTCCCTTTAACAAAGGTAAAAACTGACCCACCAGGGTGCCCGTTTTTATGTCTGGCTGAGTTTGGCTTAGACTGACTGTCCTGGTTTGCATACAAAGAAAGAGCCTCAGTCTGCAGGGAAAGAGGATAGGGAGGAGGGAGGAGGAGCACAGGTGGGGGCTTGAAAAGGAGGGAAATAAGTAAAGTAAGTGGTAAGGAGGGTTAGGAGCTTTGAATAGTGGAGAAGGGCGAAGTGGGAGAGACAGAGAGGAGGGGTGTAAGGAAGGGAGTGAATCGCAGGAGAGGGAGAAGAGGCGTGCACGGTCGACAGGTTTACATGGTGTAGGCGGTGCACAGCGATGAGGGAGGCATGCTCCATGTGGATGCACAAAGCAGACTGTGCAGAGGTACCACCTGCCATCTACATTATGCACATGTAATGTTTCCATACAAGAGCTGTTCTGGCTTCCTCTAGGGTATTGTCGTGGATCTACAAGCAGGCAGAGACAAAGACCAGAAACGCGTCTCTCTCTCTGTATTCTGGTGTGTGTGTGTGTGTGTGTGTGTGTGTGTGTGTGTGTGTGTGTGTGTGTGTGTGTGTGTGTGTGTGTGTGTGTGTGTGTGTGTGTGCGAGCGTGCATTGTGGCAGGTAGTCACGGCCGCTTGCCCGCTCTGTTTTAGCTGTGTGTGTGCGCTCTGTTGGACAGCATGTTTTCTGCCGTCCGAGTCCAGAGGAGAGCAGCCAAGCAGAATGACAACAGCCTCAGCAGCCTGCCAAACACTGCTGCGGATGGCAGGACGCACTAAAATATACAGGACACACTTGCGCAAACACACCTACACAGGAGTGTACACACACCCAACTCATGCACGCTCACACAGAAGCTTTCACTGGGACACACAGAGGCAGACCGAAACCTTTCTACACACACACACAAACACACACACATTTACAAATTCCTAGGCTACAAAATAGAAGAACAGAAGGCATACACACACTCACTGTCACTTGAGCAGGTGGTTTAATACCCCTTTCGTTTTCCTCATTGACTGCCAACTCATAGCACAGGGACACACACACGTTTATACACCCTTTGAGGTAGAAAGCAATTGACACAATTGATCTCTGTGTCAGGAGGCCGGTGCAATAGACCCAATACTTGTATACAGTTTACATGATTTTCAGATGTTGAACTGCTGAGATGGCTGTTTTAGTAACACGATCAGCCTCTCCATAGAGTCCATTAGCCACGCCTGCACACTGGAACAACTCCTGTGTATAGCAAAGTACCATACAGTGATTATACTGTGTATAGCCTATATAAATGCATTAAATCACATTAAATCACATTAAGGTGCACGTTTTATTGCACTGAATATGAGAAATAACTCAAAGGTACACATGGCAGAGATGTCACAGAAAGCTCTCATTAAACTTTATAACCTGATAAAAGGCTATAAGAACGAAACTCTGGGTAAGCAAGGCCAACTAGTCGCTTGGAATGTCTTTTTTAGTTTATTTTACATTTTGTAGAGATTTTTTCTGAATGAGACTTACAAATTAAAAGTTTATGTATGTATGTTTGAGTATGTTATGTTTGTGTATGTTATGAAAGACACTTTTTGCACCCAAGGTGAAGCTGAGAGGTAGCTTATTGGATCTTTTACTTAAATACAATACGATATAAATGCCCACTGACTGACCCATGTAACCCTTACATATTATTAAGAGAATGCCTGTCTAGCAGAAAATACTGTCCTTGTGCTTTTGTTTGATTTTATCTTCAGAAATGTGCATCATTTGAATATTTTTTACAACTAGTCATGTGCATTAATGATTAAATGCTGAAGAAAAGCAGTGCCAGATTGCTTATAACTCCGTCTACACATCTATAATGGTTAAATAGGAAACCTCTCCCACTATAGCCAAAGGCCACAGACAAGCTCATTCCTCTGTCTCCTCGGGTTCAGACCTGCTGCTCCAGATGAAGTGACCCGGTGATTAAGTTAAGTCCAGTGGCAGCATTGATTGAACCTGCTGTAAAATATTTATGATTTCTTTTTTTTTATTCATGAAGTAGCCTGGGCTCACTGACCTTCAGGGTCTTCAGTTTAGAAAACACCCTGAAACCTCATCTTGGGTTTTATATTTCAAGTTCAATTCTTTGCACAAAAGTATGCCGCAGTTTGCCAAGCGGAAGATGGCAAAATGAATTATATGCTCCAGGGAACAATCCGAATTAAAAAGCACAGATTAGTTGTCAACAGTGCTTCATCTTCATTCACTGTTTCTATTCCATTTTGATGTGACAGTAATAAATGATCTGCATGCAACATTGTGCATTAGACCTTGTCTTTAGGGCTTGACAAAGAATTAGTTTTTTTGGAGGCTGATTTTTTTCTTCCGATTATTGTTTATTATGTTTATCCATAATCTAGCTTCATCTCTTGTTTCCTGTGCTACAGTATTGGCGTCTCCTGCTTTCTTCTTTTTATCCTTCCATCTTTCTCTCTCTCTCTCTGCGTCTCTCTGACACACGCACGCATGCAGTTTCTCTATCACTATTTGTCTCGGCGTTGTGTCTTTCTGCTCCTTTCATCTCCATTCAACAGCATGACAGATCAGATCCCACCGACTGATTTAAATGTGCTTTGTGAACAGGATTTTTTTTTTTAGTGAATAGCTAAGCATTAATGAATATCTTCACACTAAGTCGATGTGTTAGGAATCAGGGTCATGGTCCCAGCCCCTGGTGGGAGCACAGCAGTAGGCGGTGAATGATAAACTGAGAGGTGGCTCGGTCACCTCACAACGAATCGAGGACACAACGCTGCGAACAAATGCTGAACAATGTTAATGCCGCACAGACCACATGTGTGTTCCCCTGCCAACTAGCACCACCGAAGTACACACGCCAACAGACAGACCCTCAGAGACCTCGCTGGGTTTGTTGTAGAAATCATGGCGAAATTAATTTATGCAATACACTTAAAGTAGCTTTGAACCTCCTCCTCCATGGATGCTCACACACACACACACACACACACACACACACACACACACACACACACACACACCGACACATACACACAGGCATTCATAAGCAGTGCTTTGCGGTGTCCTTAAGCCTCACTTTTGCAGCTGCACCACAAGAGACCTGTCTAAGTGACAACAATTAGCCTGCTCAGTTCAAGCTAATTGAAGTCATTTACATAATACACAGCTGCCATCACGATTCATCTGTGGACAATTCAAGCAGGTCTGTGTCATATTGTCACAGACTAGTGTTCAATCGCCCTCCCGCCTTGATAAATGATCCCCAAAGTAAGGCAATCACTTATCAGTCACATAAGGACGTTCTCCACTGGGCTGTGTTTTTTTTTTAAATGAAAATATGGATTGCATTTGTCAGCCCACACAGATGCGCACGTTGTCAAAACTGTGTTTACCATCAGCCCCATTACGCATGCAATTACTCAGAGGTTGAAAACAAGCTGCCTCATTTGTGCGACGCCGAGCTGCAGTGTCCAAGCAGATCCTGTGCTTTATTAGCTTGTTGTTCTGGAGCTGCTTTTGACAGGAAGCTGGGCAATAAATTAAATAGATGGCTTGATATAAAAAAAAAAAGCGTGCTGTGCAGAATTCTTCATGCTGGATTTTTGAGAAATCACGCTGCCAACGTTCATAACAGGCGATCTGTTCCCTCAGTGATTTATGAAATCAATTTGTCTTGTTATCAGCAGCCAGAATTTGTGAGATATGATCAGAGCACATGCATTTCAACTTGGGGGTAAAGGCGGCACGGGGATGGTGCATGTGTGTGTGTTAACATAATAGATGTGTTGAAAACAATCATCCGTTATAGTCAGCATTCATGCCCTGGCATCATGCTGTGAAACATCGGAGGAAGGTGCTCTGAGTGTTGATTAAATTTGGCAACAGAATGAAGGGAGTTTCTAAAGAGTTTGAGAGGCCGTAAGTTTGTTCTGTGTTTTGTTGGCCGTGGCAGCGTAGTCATGTCAGTTGTATCTGCGTAAACAGCCCTTCACGCTCACTGTCTAAACCATTCACTCATATGTGGAGTAAAAAGACTGCAAAAACACCAATAACCAGACCACACTGTGTTCGTCCACACTGTGCATACACACATCACACAACAAACCAGAAAAGCAATAAAATGTATGCATTGAAACATGAGATTCCTCATTGCTTACTTCATTTGTCTCAGTCAATGCAGACCCCTCTGAATGTCATCCATGCCTGTGCCCTGTGTGCTTGGCATCAAAGCATGACGCGGAATCAGCCCAGTCAGCCTAATGTGCTTTAGACCCTCACTTCATATACTTTCCCCTGAGAAGCTGAGGGAAATGCTGTTTTGACATCGCTATCTGTCTAGTTTTGGTGAAGAATGATATGAAAAAGAATTAGGTTCCCTCTCGTGTATTCCGGTTCAGAAACAGATAAGCAGTTTGTTTTGCAGAAGACGTCAAAGCGGGGAATCAAAAGTGACAGCTGAGGGGAGGAGATATTTCAAGATATGTCGTGATGGATGCAGGTTAATCTTAAGACTGCCAGATGTGTCGAGGATTTGCGAAAAACACCTCATGAACTGAATCTCTCTGTGCTTCTCTTTAATTCTTTTCCCTCTCTTCCTTTATGTGTGTCACTGCAGTGAAATTTGAGGATTGCCAACGCAGCAGAGAGGTGGGTTTCATCAGCAACGACCCCAACTTCAGCGTGAGGCCTGATGGGACGGTGTACGCAGAGCAGGAGGTGGCCAATCTGTCAGAGCCCGTCCAGTTCATGGTGACAGCCCGGGGGCTCCATGACCCACACATCTGGGAGACGACTGTAAAGCTGGCTCTGGCTGGACACCCTCATCCTTTAGCCCTGACAAAGGTAAGATTCAGGAAAACAAAGCTACCATGGCACAGTTATGGAAAACTAGTATTTTTGTATATTGATTAAACTGTCAATTGAATCTAGAGTTAAATATAACATCCTAAAGTATATACAAAAGTAACTTGTGTTGAGCATTAAGTTGAGATATGTTCGAGACCAGTGAAACTGCCTCATTTGCTGTTTGGTTGTTAAAGCGTTTGGTTCAGATTCATGAGTACTTATAATTTTAGCAAATGGAAAAGTTTCCATTCTAATGAGTTGATCTTTGGCGGAGGTGAGCTTGCTGTAATTTGTGCTTGTGAACTGAAGTGTGATGTTTTGCGATTAATCGGCACAGTGCAGTTTTTATCCATGAAGCTTTCTGTTACGACATGATAAGAACTTCAGGTATAATATCTAATAACACAAAGATACTCATTGGTTAAAGTCATTCTGACCTCTGTAAAGGTTAATGCATTTAATAACCCCTATGTGTATGCATACAATGGCCTACACTGTGTAGAATATTTTTCTGCCTTAACACAAGCCTGAAGTTGAATTCGACCAAATTATGTAACTGGAACATATTACTCAGTTCACTTATTATGTAATAATGTGATTAGAATTTCAGTTGCCCTTTTCCTTCTCTCTCATCAGCAACGTTCAAAGTAGTAAAAGTATTCTTGGTAGTAGGCTCATCATCCCAAGACATCAATAGATAATTATCACCAGTAAAGGGTTAATAAAAATTGCTGCTGATATTTGTAAAAATAATAAAGCTTGTGTTGATGTATTGTTAATGTGCTCACTGTTTAATACCAGTGTTTGTAGGACAAGGACTCTTTGTTGCTCAGAAAGTCTGAGAATATTAGATGGATATGTCAACATTTGAACTTTATACATTTTAATGGTTCTTCATTGGGACCTCTCGTATTGGGAACAAGTAGCTTGTGAAGAATGTGGAGGAAAAATTAACTTGTATTTCACTGTAACAGTAATGCAATAAAATGTTGTGCATTTCATTGATATGTCAAACATAATCTTCTATTCTGTTTCAATTTCAAATGGTGGAAAAATGTTGGGAAAATTAACTTGGCTGCCTCACAAAAAAACTGTTCTGCCTAAATGAATAGTGATCACGAATCCTGTTCTAACCATTTAGATGTTAGTTACTGGCAAGTGTTGACAGATAAATCTATTTTGATTTGGTATATTATTCCAAAAGGATTTAAATGGGATAAGTAAATTTACCTAGATTGAAAAACAACAAGCTACTTGAAATTCTGAATTGTTAGATTTTCTTTTTTAAATGAATCCCCTGCTATGCAAGGAGTGCAGTAGAGCAGTTTGGGATTCAGTGCCTTGTTCAAGGGTACCTCTGCAGTGCTCAGGAAGTGCTCTGGCACCTCTCCAGCAACCAGGCCAACTTCCACATTATGGTCCACATTGGGTTCCCAACCTATGTTCCTACGTACTGAACTACTGCCGCCCCTTGTAGAAAGTGTGAGGACCCTTCTAGATAAAGGCTTCTATCAATTAGTAAAGACATGTTATTGATTTCACAAAAAACACCTAAAATAAAAAATACAATCAGAATCATTGAATGCAGCTTCCCTTCAACACTTATATACAGTTTTTATGGTATGTATTACAGCTTTCTATTTGATAATGTGGCTTTATAAGCTATGTAAAGACAGGGCCAGACCTAGAGCCACTGGTACTGACTTTTATTTCCCAGCTGTACTTTTTTTAACACCAACCTTTTTTTCTGACCACTTGTGGGACGCCATCGGGCTTAATGTTCAGTCATGTTTCTAACCACTCTAATCATGACAAAAAGCCCAGAACTCATGTAGCAAAAGCAATTGCAGTGTGGGGATTAAAAGTATGCCCACTCCTGGCAGTGCAATAATGGAGACTGAGAAATAATTGACATTGATGGAGCTAATGCATAGTGGCAGACTCTGCAAGAACCTGATGTAGATTATAGTTATGTTCCCCAAATCGTACAGCTACAGAAGCATTCAAAAACTGAACTAGAAACATGTATTTTCTCCAATCACATGGACATGTGAAAGGCATTCCAGCGTACATACATTTTTCCCAGAACATTGCTTTGCTTGCACGTGTTTTGTCAAATTCTAGTGCTTCAAGCGTCTGCACCCTATTACAACCAAAGAACTGATTTTACTTTTCCTCGTAAAATAATTTCAATAATGAGATTATAATGTTTACTACATAACAATGTTAGGTAGAAACAGGGGTAGAAACTTAGTAAGGATTCAATTCATTTCATTTGTGGTTAATTTCATTTATTTATTTTCTTCTTTTTGTTAGAGTAGTGTCATAATGCTGATTCTAACAGACTCCTATCATAAAAGTGCATAAAATATAAAGAGTGAACTTTGTGAAACAAGCTTCAAAGGAACTAAAAGTCTCTTTGCATAAAGTTGTCCTCACTGACATCCGCTATCGTCAGTGGCCTGAGTGGGAAGTGTGACATTTCCAAATTATCAAAGTTTTATCATAGACTTCCTCTGTGTGGTTGACTCATTTGTTGTTACATTTTGGACTGTTCGGAATGGAACACTTATTAGATTGCAATTTTCTCTTCATTTGACCGAAAATCAGAAAGAGTGAAATAGCCCTGTGGTCAAGGCTCTGACTCTGTGGATGTATTGTTGACGGCCTTCCTCCTCCCTGCTGCCTTCACTGTCTCGCTCCTCTAGTTTAACATTTTGTACAAAAAAAAGAAAGAAGTAAAAGTCCTCTCCTAACAGTTCAACACGAACACAAAATTAAGACTTTATCAACCAGAAGCAAGGCCATTAGGGTGGCACAGGTGAAATGGTAATTCCTACTAGCATGCTCAGGATGACGCTGATGAAGGCCACAAGCCGACATGAGTCAGTCTAATTTGTTAATAAAGTTGATCTTCATACAACAAGTGTTCTGTAGCATTTTGATCTCTTCAAGCCTTTCACTCTTCATGCACCTTGTTAGTTTGTGAGGTTGTGCCAGAAAATTCCACTCTGCTTCTTTTATATCGGCATGCTCACAGTTTGCTACAGTTTGGCAGGAGAGACATTTATGTGATGACATCTTAGTTTATCATGTTAGTATGCTAACTATTGCTAACTAGCATTAAATGCTTAGAGTAGATATGACTGATGGGACTTTGTTTGGCTATTCTTTTTTTATAAACTAGAGTATTTGATGCATTGAATTGTATACCAGATGATGGGGCCAAATAAATGTTAGGGGCTGACGTAAATACAATCATGGGCAGCACAAATCGATTATAATAACAATCAATCCAGTAGTTTTCAATCAAACACCATGGATGAATTTTCATTTTGGCACCACACATGAAAGTCCAATATAATTCCAACTCATTGTCTAGATAACTTAAATTTTTGTAAATTGTATTCACAATCATTTTAAAGTTGCACAAAAGTATTAGCAAAATTGCAGGGCTATTCGGCTAGCATGTTAAAGAAATACCCTACATGCCTCACCCTACAACAAATCTACTTCTTCAGTCTTTTGGCACAAGTGTTTATGGATGTAACTTTGAATACTTCTTGGTTACTACATTCACTAATAGGCAAGAGAGGTCCTCCTGTATAATTGAGAAACTATAAATGTTACCAGTTGGCAAAAATGCTTATGTGATTTAGCTGAGACACAAAATAAAATGTTTAATACTATAAGCAGCAGAGAGTTTAAAAGCAAAGCCATATTTGTTCCTTTGATGATTTCTGGAAATTGAAGGTAAAGCTTCTCCGCATTATCAGTGATGTGTTCTTGGGGGCAATTTCCCTTTCCTCCATCAGTAAACACACACAAAGTTGAGCAGTTGGTAACACACATCTCTTTGTTCTGAAAGTCAATATTTATTTTTTAAAAGAGGTTATCACATCATGTAACGACAACTCGTCTCTGCTTAATCTTAGCAGCAATGACAGTGTAGGCAACAAACGGCTCACGATATCCTCTCTGCCCTGTTAGTGATTTAAAGACAGACAGCTCAAATAGCAGCTCATATTGTTCACTGGCTTTGTGTGCAGATAGATAACGTGTAGACAAGATAGTGAAGTGTTAGGAATTGTATGATTTGTTCTTCTATACAGAACATAATAGGCAGCATTCACCTAGCAATGCCGGCTTTGTTGTACAGCACCATGAGTGCACTGATGTGCTTTTAATAACTGGCTTGCTTTCTCACTGTGCTGTTTTAGTAGCAGGAATTAGCATACTTGGAATGTGCTCCATGATGGACCAGTTCATTTCAGTATTTAATTTTTCTGGTTTACAATACCACATCAATTGAAGTGCAGAGCATCTTTGGCCTGAGAGCCCTCTGTGCTGTGTTTATGCACTCAGGCTATCACATCTCACACAGGTAGGGCCTCTCGCTGAGTGCTCTCCAACTCGTACTGATTTCATGGCACGTTGGTTTGCCTTCTCCACCAGCTTAGAGCCCATCAGTTATGCACCACTGGCTTTGGACCTGACTGGTTGCCAGAGCTGGTTTTAGTGCTTATTTGATTTGCATTTTTGTTTCTTTCTCCCAGACAACCTAACCTGTTCAAGGTAGATTACAGCAAAGGCCAACAGCAGGGTGGAACTTAGGACCCTGGGGTCCACAGGTTGTTGAAAATCAACACCAGCAGGGTCGGATGCTTGTGTGCTTTAAATATAGACTGATTATGTTTACAATCCACACTGGAAGGCTGAAAGGGTCAAAAGTCAAACAGAAGCTTTAAGAAATTCATTAAAACTCTTCTAAAGTTTAGTTTCATTGTTATTTTTCCTCACTTGAGTTTTTGAGAGAAGCTCTCATGGGTGATTGTTTCCTTCACTGAAGACTATAGCACTCATGTCTTTTTTATTACAGTGAACCAGCAATTGGAACTGCAGCACTAAAGACAAAAGAACAACATTGAAAAACCTGGATCAAATGTTTTCAGAGCCACTCCGAACAGAGAATGGGCGATGAGCACACACTGTATTGTTCCGCCTGTTTGTCAGTCTGATAACCTCCAGATGTCAGCTCCAGGGCTCAGAGGCTGCAGGCCTAAGGAATGCCCCAGCAATGTGCAAGGCTGCCTGGGAGCAGAGAGCTGCCAGCTGGCCCCAGATGCCTCTGGGTTTCAGGAGCTGCGGGCGCAGCATGGACACACTTACTGACTGTCTGTCATGTGTTCACTCACAGCAACAGTCTGGGACACGCAAAAACAGACGGACAAATACATCCTCACATATGCTCATGCATTATTTGTATGTGTGCACACATGCTTGCATGAAGGCCAGCACACATGAGTTCCCTAATGTGCAAGCAGGCATGACTGAAGACACCACACATGCATATCTCTAATAAGCACGTAGTGTCCTGGCTGTCCATAGAGAGCTTGATCTGAATTTCCTTTATAAGTTTGCTGTTATCACAATGCCAGCAGACTATCATCGGCCATGTTGTTTTAAATTGACAGTGGCATGCAGCCATTGTGCTGATATCATCCAAAAGTAGAGTTACAATAAATTATGTTTCCTGTTTTTTGTATGTCCTGTTTTTTTATATTCTGGATACATTATTATACTTTATTGTTATACTCTGTTATTGAGAGACATAAACACGTGTGTCATGACCTATGACCTATAGACATGCATTGATGGAGAGATGCCACAGTGGGGCTGCTACACAGGGAGCTCGCCAGAGCTGTTGGTGGTTTGCCTTGCTCAAGGGCACCTCAGCAGTATTTAGGTAGTGACCTGGCACCTCTCCAGCAACCGGACAGACTTCCATACTTTGAATCGTACCAGGACTTGAATCGATGAACATCCGCTTCCCAACCCAAGTCCCTACAGACTGAGCTGCTGCTGCCCCCAAATTTTTGGCAACGAAGGAATGATGGGATTTTGCCCAATCAGATGCTTCCACATCCTTATTCTACGACCTGATGGGCTGCCTTCTTCTGCGGGCAGATTGGCATATAGAGAAACTGTTCTTTCATAGTGTGTTTGGTTTTTGACTCACTTTGACTCACTTGACTTAATCATGATAGCAGCACACTGGACATAAAGTAGACGAGGACAAATGGTGCTGTAGTTCCATGTATTATGTTTTAATTGTCGTATGCACTGACTTATAATCAATGCTGATAATTCAACATCTTTTGCCAGAGAGAGCGGCTGTTTATCCTCATTTGCATGTTTGTTTGTTTTCGTACATCATTGTTTGTTTTCCCTGGTTTTTTGTTTGTTTCAAATGAGCATCTGCAAATATGCACACAGCCTCTGAAACGCAGACAGAGACTAATTCCAACGGCTGCCCGTGGAGGGGGCTGGCAGCACCCGGCCTCCCTCATGCCAATTGGTACCTGTGAGTGTTTTGGATGAGGGGAGCTGCAATGAGAGTTATCTTATCTGGGAAACACATCTGGTCCACTTGTTCCTCTATCTGTCCTCTAACCAGCCACCCGGTCACCCCTCCTCCCTTACGTCACTAAACCCTCAGCTCTGGCTTTCAGGAGGTCTGCACTGAGCTGCCTGTCCAATCCCCTGAGCTGTGAATGTGTGAAGAGTTTAAACAAAAGGATGAAAAATATACGCTGAGTTTACACAGGTGTGGCTTACAGGTGTATATTGATAGGAAGAACAGCTGGTCTGTGCTTGGCTCGGAAACCTGACTGTGGTGCTTTTCTGCACACGTGTCTCTCTGCCTGTATGACTGCGTAACGTGTGTGTTCCAGGTGGGATGAGCAGGAGGATTTCCACTGAGCTTCAGGTGACAGCAGCATGCTGCCAGCGAGTGTATGTGTGTGTTTGGTTTGTGTGTATGTTTGTACACAGAGCAAGAGACAACAATAGGATTAGGTGGATTACAGCAATACAACCATCTTACAAAGGAGGACACCATAGAGGATTGAGGGGGGCGGGTGGGGGGAATGCAGTCTTTTACACACCCTTATAACCCCTATTTCAGCAGCATGAGCATGAACACAATCTTGTTTCTGCAGATATAGCTGCAGGGGGTTGCACACTCCCATATATTCTGACATAGGAGTTTCTTGTGATGCTGTTTTCCTGCATGATGTTCATACTTAAAAACTAAGTTATATACAGAACAATAAGAGACAGGAATCCAAAAAGTCTACGTACTTTGTTTTCAGCATTGTTTTTAAGACAATATCTCTCCAGTGGTGGTTGACATTTCAAATTGCTTGTCTTTCAAGTGATTGCTGTGCAGCAAAACTGAAGGCCTGTTGCCTGGCTGTTTCTCTCCTCAGTTGCCTTCCTTATTACACTGCTATTTCATCAGTACCTGTTTTAACTGATGACAGGCTCCTGTCAGGCCAAGTGTTGCATTGTTTTCTTTCTTCAGCGGGAACCTAGAAGACAGAGACTGGCTGGTATAGTTTAATCTGCAGGAAAAATCTGTGCAGGGATGCAGACAGAGCAAAAGCACCTCGGTGGCCAAGATCCAGCCTTGTTGCTTTTGAGTAGCTCTCTCTTTGGAGGGTTCAATAAGTTGGCAGCTAAAGTGTGTCTCGCCAAGGGCCTCATAAAATGTGATGCAGCAGCATTCAGAAAAATCTTGAAATATCCTCATCTTTACCCTTGTGTCATTCTCCCAAAAGTGGCTTTATAGAAAGAATGACACCCGATATTTTAGTTTCAATCTTAGCAAAGGGGAAAACGTGTCATTTTATAGCACTTTTGAGATTCATCTTCCAACCTGTCATGGAAAAATAGCGCTCTTCAAACGATAACATGCACAAGTTATTCAATGCTAGATGTGGCATGATATGATGTGGTTTTTTTTCCAGGTTGGCTTTGAGGAAATGCTGTCAAGAGTGTGGGAATCCCAACCCAGAGTTATCAAGTTTGCTCGAAAACATCAGAGGAGCTCGTCTGTCAATGGGCTGAGGCGTCAGAAGAGGGACTGGGTCATCCCACCTATCAATGTGCCTGAAAACTCCAGAGGACCCTTCCCTCACATGCTTGTCAGGGTGAGTGACAGTTTGTGTAATTCCAGCAAAAAGCTCTTATCTTTTTCTGATGCAGAAGATCTTTGGTGCACACCAAAACTTTTATATAACCTATCTTTGAAACGAAAGCTGTGATTGAAATAAAAAAAAAAGTTAGCAGACCAATATATTGTTTCTAAATGCATTCATACCAGACAAGAGTGAAAATTAGAGAATATATAGTTATACCTTTAAAATTCACCATGAGGCCAAGAGACTCAGAATTCTGGCATTTTCTATCAGACACAACCCAGCAGGCGAAAAGTGCTGCTCTTGTCTCCGATTTAAGTCATGATGCCAGATTATTTGTCTGCTGCGCCTCTGGGCACCGCACACGGGTAGAAAAAAGCTAAATCCTTGCCTGGAAAGCACACAAATACTCACTTCATGCTCAGTCTCAGAAGAATAGATCTGAGGATTACTCAGAAGTATTTTCTCTCAGTTGTGTTTCTACACCTGTTAATGCAGCTTCTAGACTATTATTCACATCGCAGCACTTCTCTGTGTAGATTACAGCACCCTGAAATTGATGATAATGACATTCATATTTTCGGAGCTCCCCAAACGCTCCTTTAACTGAGATAAATGTTTGGTATAGGAATGCTTGTGAAAGCAGGCAATTTGATTAAGTTACATTTTGGCAACAAACAAAGGAGTTTAACATCGTTTTATTGAATATATCATGATAGATGCTGATGATTTCAGATCATTTCATTATTTCAGAGGAGGCATCAATGTGCACTGCATTACAGTAAAGAGTAGTTGAGTATATGAGTATATAAGTTAAACATTAAACATACAGCATGTAAGCAATCTTTTCTTTACTTTAACAGTTGAGGGTTTTTTTAAAATAACTGTTTAAGATTCCTTAATTCCTTCGCTTTACTTTAATTGAATAGCCTTAATTCTAAGATAAGTAACAATAAACTTTGTAGGATGTGAAAAGACAGGTAACATAGGTTGAGAATGAAGACATCGAGCAAATGTTCCAGTCCCTTTTTATATGGAAGGTAACGGTCACATGATGCTAAATGTATTAGCCACTAAACCGAAAGGTGCAAAATGTATCAAATTAAGATTAGTGACAAGGAAAAATATGATATGCAGACACATTCTTGTGGAAGATGGAAAAAGTCATGCATGTACATAATTCTATTATTCAACATTTTACTCAAGTAAAATCAACGTATTGAAAAAGGGATACCGCTGTCAGCATCATTGATGTCTTAAAGGAAGAATGTGTGACATTTTAAACACAAATACAGCAGAAATCAAGTATATCCTATGTCAATAACTCTCAGAGTCAAGACTGTCAACAATGAGTGAGAAGCGCGAGTCCCATTGTCTCAATTTATCTAGAATTGAAGTGACGAGCTAACTAAAGTGTGCTAACGTTAGCCTGCTATCACAACTAGGCCCGCTGCAGGCAGGCAGCACGAGCCAGCGAAAATTTGGTCTGCCGCTTGCGTTTGACTCATTTGTGCCAACCTGAGTGGAGGGGGGTTGGAGGTGTGTCGCTGGAGGAGAGCCGAGGCTTCGGTCTGGCAGTGGTGTCACCAAACAGCAGTTTGTTATGGTTTCATGCTGATGCTCAAGGGCGACATACTGGATCAAATAGTCACACATTCTTCCTCTATTACAATCAGTACAAAAGCAAAATCAACAAAATTTTACCAAATTCTATTTGCACGGTCAACAATGAACAGGTTCACTATTTATAGCAGACCAATCCATATTAATCAAATGTGGGAAAGGTTGTGTTTCAGATGAAATGTTGTTTCTCTCATAGTAAAATATTGCGCTTAAAGACTCTTGAAATTATTTAACAAGGAAAATGCTAAAGCAGAATACAAGTGACGTTAAAAGAAAGATTTGTAATGCACCAGTGTAGACTAAATGATTCATTCTGAGTGAAACTGATGCACAACTTGAAAGAGTAATGTTGCATATTATGGTCTCTCATCTCCTTTTTCCGTTTCAAATGTTCTACCACAACACAAAGGAAGACGTGTAGAAAAAGGTTGTCAGTGGCCTCGAGTAGTCTTCTACAAAATTCCCAATCAATCAATTAATAAATCTATCTTTATTTGTATAGCACCAATTAATAACAAATGTTATCTCAAGACACTTTACATACTTGATGCCATGGTTGTTGTTGCTATGCATTATTTATACATCAAGAAATAAGAGAAATCCAAAGCTAATTCCCATGGAGGCATCACACCCAGAGCTGCTGCTCTAAACTCTCCCCACTCAATGCCTCTTATCAGACACCCAGACAGACATGCAGCTTTTGCTAGCATTTCTCTCTCTCACACACACACACACACACACACACATACACACACTCTCAAACATACACACACAAAGTCTCTTACGCCCATTTGTACAGCGAGGCTTACACTCCCGGATTACGGAAATCGCCTTTCACCAACGTGTCGGCGAGAGGGCAGATTTTCCAGCAAAGCATGGAAACACTCACCCTCACACAAACACACACACATTGGGGCCGGGGGAATATCATGGGGGGCACCAAATTGTGCTGCCCTGCTGGAGACATGGACCCTCTTTTATCCCCCTTTCACACGTCACCTTTAGATGGTTGGATTAAACATCCAGGGCGTCCTTTGTGCGTGTGGCCATGTGAGTGCTCAGGTTTAGTGGGTTTGAGTGTGGATGTGTGTGGGTGTATTAGAGCCACCTCTCCACCTGTGTATTGGTGAACACAGTATAGGTGTGTCTCAGCCCTCAGTCATAGCCGAAAACAATGCATCATGGGGGATGTGACTCATGCTGTCCATTGCTCCATGAGGTGTCTGTCCCTGGCTCTCTCTCTCTCTCTGCAGAAGCACTCTACCTCCTGACAGACAGCTGACGGGGAGAACAGAGGGGGTTTCAGGCTTTACCAGACCAGTCTCAGAAGCATCTGAGAACAACCTTTAAAGCTCACTCACATGATTTTTAGGGCACGCCAAATCTCTTGTGCCATGCAAACTCTTTTTGAGTTTCTCACCTGTGTTTTTTTTTTTTTCACTTGGCGTCTTCATGCATGTTCAAGAACAATTAACCCTAAAGTCTAATCACAACACACCCAAAGAGGTGTGAGGTGGAACTGACTACAAAACACATAGAGGTTAATTAAGCTCTATGGGTAAGTAAGATAAGTAAGAGAAGTAAAATCCCATGTAAGAAGCTAAACTCCTATTAATTGATATCCCACCACTGATTTTTATCAAAGCCCTCAAGTGAATGTGGTTGAATTCAACAAAACAAAAACAAAAAAGGCTCCCACAAACACACACAAAATACAACCACAAACACACATACCAATGATGAATAATAGCACCATCCCATACTGGACATTTTAACCCTGATGTGTGCGATCCAGTCATGAAGAACAACAAGAAGTGCAGCTCTGAGGCCGTTGATTTACTGTTGTGCGCAAATGGAAAAAGCTTCGGCTGTCAGATGATTTGACATGACAGATGTAAGTGCAGTGGAAATAGAGAGGTTGAGAATCAGCTTGAGTTAAATGGATACTGGGGTACATGGTGAGAGATACTCCTTTTGAGGAACTGAAAGCAGTGAAGGCAGGAGGTGGAAAAGAGAGAACGGGGGGCACAGGCTGAGATTTAAAAAAGAAAAAAAGATTAAAAAAATAGAAAGTCTTTGGAGAGCGCTGTAAATCTGCAGGGTGAGGGAGGCCAACATTAGTTTCAGGCCATTTGTGGCATTCTCATCTCAACCGTCTCCTGCAGCACCTACACTGGGGCCAATGAGGCAAAACTGATGGAAAGCAGTCTGAATGTGGGAGAGAAAAGACTCTGCTTTCATTTAAGCAGGCCTCAAACACAGGCTCCCTCACTGACCCACGCTTAGGACAGTGAAAGGAACAATATGAGCTGGAAATAATTGAGCACATTGTGGATGGTTGTTTTAATATTATGTGATTCTGCAGCCGAGGGAAAGACTAAGAGAAATGTCTGCGTTAGCTGTTTCTTTTTCTCACTCTGCGTGACTCTGTGCCCTTTCCAAGCAGCTTAATGAAATGTATAATACACAGACTTTATCATACATTACCATTGTAGGATAAATGATGGTCTTAAGGTGAAGAGGTGAACGGGCATATTAGAGTGCATCTCAGTCTGATTTGGTTTACCTCATTATTTTGAATAGCCCATTATGCTAGTGCTCATGGGTAATATAATATGGCAAAGTGTGAATTTGAATGTATCATATTCAGAATGACTCGGGGCGCCTCGTTTAGATGGATTTTATCAAAAGCAAACAGAAGCGCACAAACAAAAACAACTGTTGAAGTTAGCCTTTCATTGGAGATAACTTTCCACACTTTGGCAGAAGATAACTTAAAGCTCTCTTTGGAAGGAGAAGAGATATGTGGCTTTTTTTTGCTTTTCTAATTTGGTTCACGAGGCCAAGCAGCTAAAATACTTGTGATATGATCTAAGTGTTTGTGGAAGCAGGTTAGCTCAGTGGCATTGTAATGTCTGTACCGCTGTTTGCTCAGTCCCCAGAATGAAAACACAGTGGTTTATTTACAACCTCATATTGCACCGTGTATTTCATTACAGCTGGTAATGAGCTGGTAATATGCTTTTGGATACGCTTGTTTTGTCTGCTTTTTTATTGCATCTCTCGTGCACTCAGACACATTGTGCCGACTGTGTCTGCATTGTGCATGTGTACATTGTGTGTGTGTGTGCGTTTACACCAACTTAATGGTACAAAAGGTAGGCAAATTGAATTATTTAAGCCCAGCTTTATCTTCATTTTACACTTAACATAGTTCTTTCAGAATTACTTTCATGTGTGGGGGACATAATGTGGAATGAACAACAGCAAAATAAACTCCTACTCAATCATCGTTCCTTAGAGGTTGTTTTCTAGACTTAAGAATGGAAAAACAACTCCCTCTAAATGTTTTTCTGTGTGGTGCAATCAGTCATTTGGCAGGAAGTGGT